TTATTCTTATATCTTAGTGTATGTTTGGATGAGCATTTTCAAACTTGAGTTTGAATGAACTTCATTTTGTAGAAATGATTTTATTTAAAGGTGAGTCTAAAGTAATGTGATTTATATTTGAAAACTATCACTTAAAGGTTTGTTGAAAATTCAATATAAATTTTTCAAATCAACACCAAAGTTATAAAAAGTTATAATTTATCATGTTGACTCAAATGTAAGTTTAGAGATAAAATTAATTATGTCATACAATTGCCAAACATGTTGGCACAAATTTCAAACCACGTTTACATCTTTAAACACGAGTTTAGAAGCTTCCATTGCTTATCCAAACATGCACTAGAATCGGTGTTTCTCCCTGATGTCTGTCATGTTTGAAAGTTAAATGGTTCTTCTAGTAAGAAAAAGTTTGGAGGTTTGATTCAATTCTTGTTGTGGTTTATAGTGCACTTTTACATAAGCATATCAAAATTCTATGACTGCAGTTAAGCAGCTTAGTGCTTACTTGGATCCAATGTCATAGTAATTTTAACTTTTTAAAATATTTTAATTATTATTTTTTAAAAAAAAAATAAATGTTAAGATGTCTCACATTAGCTAGGAATAGAAGAAAAATACTGCTTATGAGGACTTGGGTAGTTCTCCTCATAAGAGCTAACTTTTAGGAGTGAATTAGGTCCAAATTTCTTAACATGCATGGTATCAACACTTATTATAGATCCAATGATGAGAAACCCTTGATTGAAAAATAGAAACTGGTCCAACATAAAATTTGGTATAAACACTTATTGTAGGCTTATCTATTTCTATATTAAAAAAATAAAGTCCTACAATTTCCATGTCCTAGATGTCCAATTTTGAGCGTAAGAAAGTGTGTTCAAGTCCTAGATCAACTATAGATATGGCTATCTACATGAACTATACAAGATATGGCCAAATAAGAGCTTACAATTATAAAGACTAAAGCAATCCTCAAAGCTAGCTTTAAGGGTTGAGTTAGGCCCAAGTTTTTTAACAATAGAAAATACTTTTTTCATAATTATCTTTATATGTTGCAAATTTTGCATAAAATTAATCCATTCTATGACCATTCATGGGTATTGAATAATGGACACTATCTTTAATGTCATTCAAGCTGAAAGGGTTTATTGACAGCCCTTTTGCCAGTTTGAATCAAGTGCAATTATGGATATATTTTCAAATTGAATTGTGTATTCCTCAATCTGTCTCCATTGTAGTTTTAGTCCAAGGATAGGTTAGAATTATAGAAAGAATATTGAAATCCTAGATGTTTAAGAGATCCAGGCCTCTCCCAAATCCTTACTAATACAATTAATGCCCCCAATTGTGTGTTCCCCCCTTTTCCAAATTTCAGTAACTAACTAACTAATCTACACTTACTATAGTTAATATATTGGTTACTAGCATGTGCAATTGACATCCCCTAACTGCTGAGCAAATTTTTGATACTCCTGTAATATAGACTTCCTTCCAGTTTCATTTCCTTATTTAGTAACTTCCTCTGTACTTGTAATATAGACATCCCCTAATGCCTGAACGACTCATCTTGCCTGAGCGAGATTTCAGCTTGCCTAAGCGAGATCACTCTCGCATGGGTGAGGTGACAGTTGAACTGAATTTATCCTATTTCGCCTAAGCGAGATTACCCTGAAATAAAAGTGTTTCTGAGCGCTCAACCTCGTTTGAGCGAGATTCCCTACACCAACTTCTTTTAAAAACTCTTCATAATTCATTCCCAAACATATCCTAATACTAATTAACATCAAATAAAACATTATTTTCTGAATAATGAAAAAGGTGTTAAACATGGTGTGGGTTAGGATGCATTACCGATTCAAATAATTATGGCATTGTAATCAGTGCATTTTGCAAACTGAAAAAGACTGCTGAGGCACAGGATTTGATGAAGCAAATGGTTGGTGGTTCAATATGGCTTGACCCCAAGAGAAGGAATGCTGCTGAAATTGTTGGCAGCATTACGGGCAAACAGGGAGATATGGAAGGCTGTTGAGATGATTGAGTTCCTGTAGCAAGAGGGTAACTCTTTTGGATTTGAGAGCTACGAGTTGGTGATTGAAGGGTGTTTGGAGAAAAGTGAGTATGTTTTGGCCGAAAAGGTTGCAATGAAGACGACAAAAAGAGGTTTTATACCATATATCAGTGTCAGGCAGAAGATAATTGAAGGTTTGCCCAGAGTTGATGAGTGAAGATAGCTTGTGGCCTGAGACAGAGATTTGCATCAATTAAACCTTAGATGTGAAATTCTTTATCGTGGGCAAGTACAATTCTGAAAGTTGAACAGGTGGCTACATAAATTTGCAAAATTTGTGGTGCAATTGGTGTTTTCTCAATGACAATCCTATGCTTTGAGGCAAAGTAATGTGGCACGATGATTACGACGCATGGAAAGAGCTGAGAACATTCAATGGAACTGCGTTTTATTTGAATTTGATGAATAAAAGCTAAAATGCATAAAACTTGCAACATCAATTGGAAAAGATGCATGTTGATGTGCAAATATATCATTGTGAGCAGGTACATACCATTTGATCCTTTACCATGTGTCGCCACGTTTGTCATATTATCACAATCTGTCAGTTGTCTACGATTAGAAACTACATTATCATAATCTGTCGGCAAAGAAAAAAATATATTAAAAATTTCATCATTTGGCTCCTCACGTTAGCATCATACTTGTGTTAAAATAGTTGTACTCATTTTTATACTTTTATATTCATATATTGACAAGTGAGTTCTTTTAAGTTTTTATTAAATTTTAAATTAAGAATGTTAAATTCTCATCTCTAGCATGAATACTTTTAAAAAATAGTCTCAAAAAATTAATATTCTTATAAATATTTAGATAAGTTTTCTCAGAATACATTCCTATAAGAGGGGTAAGAATTAAAAATTTTATGAAGGTAAGAATAATAATAAAAAATACAAATATATCCCTAAATATTTTTAAATTTAAACTTAGTTTACATAATTTCTTCTCATAACCATCAGCACTTATAAGTCAGTCAAATAATATATATTATAAAGTTACGTTTTTTACACTATTTGTTTTGCTTTATATATAAAGGATATTTTAAAAAATATTAATATTTAAGAAATAATATTTAAATAGAACACAATATTAGAACTTTTTAGTAAATTTAAGATGCATCAGATATATTTTTAACATTTCATAAAGTAAAATCCCCAAAAATATGATTTTAAGAAAAAATAATTTCAAAAACTAAAAAAATTAAGTTTTTACCATCGTTATATTTTGACTTAGCATATTATCTATAAAGAGAAAAAGCATTTAATTGCATATAATAATTACTTTTTCACGTATACATCATGCTATAAATGAAACAGTAATTAAAAAAATATTCTCTGCTAAGTATTCTCTTACCATTCTACACATGTTTAGGTTTTTTTTTTTTTTACCAAAAATTACATTATGTTCCTTTGCAAGTTAGCATGATATTTTACAAGAAAAATAAACAAATAAAAAATGATGAAAAAATAACGGATACTTTTTCAGTATTTCTACAGTACATATTCCCTTTATATAGCAATATCCTCTCATATATGGTTAGTTTATTCCTAATTTAAATTTTTTCAAAATTAAAAAGAAAGAAAAATTTACCAAATAAAGAAATATAACTGAAAGAAATAGGTACCATCGGAGTACAAAAACCTACTCAAAAACAACAAAAGGATAAAAAATCTTGAGTTAATTAGAATTTAAAGAATTGGTCATTTTATCATTTTAAAAATAAATATGGATAATAAAGAAAAATTATTTACAAATTAGCATGATTTTTGTTTGCATCTTCATAATAAAAATGATGCATCTAATATGAAGCTTTTGCATCTCATTAATTCAGAAAATTTTATTTGCCATTCTAATTAGCATCCATCCTCAAAATAAGTTTTAAATAATCAAATAGATGTGTTCAAAATTCAATCAAAACCATTTTCAACAGGTAAATCGATTATTTTAAGATTGAATAAATTATGAATTAAAAAATGACAATTTTTTTTATTTGGTTTGATTTTTTGTTTACATATTTAAAACTAATCCAAACCAAATCATAATGAGCTACAAATATATTAATTTTTTATTTTGGCCTTATGTATACTAATCAAAATATATTTCATTAAATATTTGTATTTTTAAGAAAAACTTGAAATTATTTAAATTTGTGTTTTGAAATTTAGACTAAGTTAAATTTATAATGAGATTCAATGCTTTGAGTATTTTTTTATTTTCAAATTATATATATATATAATAATTGAACTTTTTATTTTCAAACTTTATATATATATATATATATATATATATATTTATATATTAATTTTAGATGATATCCTTGCACTAAATAATGAAAATTTATATATTACTAACCAACAAATCAAAGTCACAACATATTGATTAGAAATGATTCAAACTTAATATTATTCTCATACTAATTAAAATCAAACTGTGAATATTTCTAATAAATCCAACCGTTCTTCCTACATATTTTATTATATTGTTGCAATTTATTTTGTCTTCAAATAAAATATGTATCCAAACAAGGGTTGATCATTATTACACATCAAAATAATAAGCCATCAATATAAATATCACTCGAAAATAATATAATAGTTAGTTCTCATCATTAACATGCCGTATCTTAAAAATAAAAACAAAACTTGTTATTTTTCTAAGGATCTTAAAAAAAAAAAGAAAATAGTTATTTCCACTTGTTCTATTGTTATGACATTTTTGCATAAAAACAAAATGGAAAATAGAAAATTATGAGTTTCTCATTGTTTACGACACTCCTGCTTGCATTAAAAATCTTTTCACTTAACGGAACTATATGATCTTAAAAAAATCATAAATCAATTCATCTTTTTAAGCATGTCGCATGATATTTCATATGATATAAAAATTGAAAGAAAATTTAATAACATTCTGTCTTTGCATAACATTGCTGTCAACATAAAAAGATCTTTAAGTTGTTAAGACGACTCATTCCTTCGGGCAGCGATGCCAATTTTGGGCACAATGAGATTGAGATCTCCTCAAGCGATGGGAGGTTGCAAATCCAATCTGGCAAAGCCTCTAGCCATTGACAATAATATAATGAAAATCGTCGCAGAGAAGGAAGGCAGTTGGTGTCGTCCTTAAACCCAGTTTCAAATTCCCCAAGTGTTTCACTGTCACACCATTGAATTTGAAGAGACTCGAGAGAAGTCAGATTTTGCATCCAACCCTTTGTTAAACTCATAGGATCAGAAATGCTCAATTGTTTGAGCATGGAAAGAGGAGCAGCGGAGGAAGATGAGTCAGCTGAACATGTTGACGCTATTGTGTTTAGTGTTCCTATTAATGCCTCCGCACTGCTATGAAACCAGTCTATATCCTTGACATTTGGAAAAGTAGGCATGCAAGTCAACTTTGGACACCGAAAGACATATAGATGAGAAAGATGAGGAAATGAAAGAGGTAAGGAGAGATTATGTGAATCTTTGATGTCATCTCCCTGCCTCCGCCATCCCCTGAGCTCGGGACAATGATATAACGTGAGGCTCTCCAAAGAGGGGAAGAAGGTTGCTGCAAAACCATCTTCGTAGAGATATATGCACTCCAATTCACGAAGAAACTGTATGTTAAGTGACTTCAGGGACTGGAGACGTTCCAACGGAGGGAGACAGCGACAATTATCAAAAGCAGAGAGAGTGATGTGAACAACATTTGTGAGGAGAGAAAGCCAATTTGCGAAAAGCACGCCTGGATAATGATTTACCTCCAATCGCTTAAGATTACGGTGGGGTTGAAGGTTTTCCAATAATTGCAAGCTGTCACTGTTACGGAGGTCTCCATTCCACCAATCCAGAGTTAAGGATCGAAGGAATTTTTTTTCTTTTAAATTTATGTCCTGAGATTCCAGAGCCACTTCTCTGACACAATTGAGATGCTGAATTTCTAATCGGCCTCTGAGGTTTAAGCCCTTCAGTTCATTTAGTGTGCCATGTTTTATTTCTTGGCTGTCTCCCACACCAAAGGTCGATAAGAGTTGCAATGAGGATAATTTTCCGAACCCTGCCATCCCACACACGGTGTCATAATAAGCAATATCAAGGCACCTCAAGTTGACTAACTTTGTGACTACTTCTGAAAATGATTCTTCATCACAATCTTTCAATTTTAATGTTTGTAGGAAAACAAGATTGCTCATAGATTTGGGAAGACTTGTATTTTCTGTTAAAACAAGGTATCTTAAATGCTTCAAATTTTCAGTGGAATCAGAGAGACAATGAGTCCTCAAGACACGCAAGTACTTGAATTTTGCAATAACCGACAAATATTCCTCTTCTTCGAAGTGATACGGTAGGAAAATCAAAGTTCGCAGCCTGCTCGGATCTAACGATTTCAACACATTAATGTTCACATCAGATTCCAATGACACGTGCATGGGTCTACCTTCAACTTTTTCTGCCTTACTGTCCAAGTAACAATAATCATTGCCAGCTACTAGGATTGCTAGATCATGCATTAAATCGTGCATTTTGAAACTAATGATCTCACCGTATTCACCACTCTCTGCATCCTGAAAAAATGAGTTCATCAAAAACATCTTTACAAATTGAACGCCGACATCCTCCATGTGCTGTTTTTCGGTTGAACATTTAAGGTAACCCTGTGCCATCCATAACTGAATCAACTCATCCTTCCGAATTTCTGAATCCTTGGGATATAAAGAGCAATAAGCAAAACATTGTCTCATTTCTGGCGACAAGTTGCGGTAACTGAGTTTTAGAATTGGCATGATACTATCTTGCTCTTCGCATAATGTCCAGAAACTACCACGTAAAACCTCCTCCCATTCACTTTCTTCCTTTTGTCTTCGTAACAGGCCTCCCAGGGTTTTAACTGCCAGTGGAACCCCTTTACATTTTTTGGCAATTTCTTTTCCCATTGATTCTAGATTTTGATTCACTCCTTTGGAATCATCCTCAAATCCAATGTTTTTCAACAAAGTCCAAGATTCTTCATCAGTCAAACCTTTCAAAGGATAGGAAGTGCTAGCAGTCATTGCCTTTGCTACATTTTCACTTCGAGTTGTCACTAAAATCTTACTATCTTGAGCGCCACACATCAGGTACTTTCTCAATTCAGCCCATTTTTTATAGCTATCATTCCAAATGTCATCCAGCACCAACAAATATTTCTTACCACTTAAATTTTGACGAAGCTCTTCTTGCAAGTAGTCTAACGATAACCCGACTGCTATTTGGCAACGAGTAATTGATTCTATTATTTTCTTCAGAATAGTTTTAACATCAAAGTTATCAGAGACACACACCCACATTTGCATTTCAAAAGAATTCTGCTTTTTCAATTCATTATACACCAATTGAGCAAGAGCTGTCTTACCCAAACCACCAAGGCCAACAATGGCAATCACAGAAACTGTTTGCTTTTCATGTGGTTGTCTCAACAGGCTAATAATCTCCTCTTTACTATCATCTCTTCCAATGATATCAGATTCTACCACAAAAGAATCTGTTTCCCTGCATTCACTTTGCTTAACCAGCATAGAACTTGAGATTAAATTCAAATCCTTCATTTCTTTCACTACATCGTTAAAACTTTCTCGTGTTACTTTAATTTTGTCACGCATTTCACTGTATAAAGGAAGTTGATTTGAAGATGAAATGGAACGAAGTACCCTGTTTACTTCTTTTCCGTCGGCTGCACCCATTTTGTCTCTCCTAAATTCGATAGCAAGGTCATCTAAGAAGTCATCTGCAGCATGGAGTACTTTTTTGAACCTTCTGATCCAAACTCGCACACCATCGTCTTGATCTTGTTTATCGTCGGCATCAAGGAGCTTACCATTGATGGATTCAATAGTGTTCTTAAGCTCTTCTAACTCTTCCATCACACCATACTCAGCATACTCCTGTCCAAATTCAAGAAAATCTGCGGAAGCTAACCTGTGAATGAGATGTGAAGAGACACCAAATGGAAGTGACTTAGCATCTTTAAAATGATTAAGAAAGTGTACATATAAGGCTATAATAAATATTTTACTATCTTCCTCCGTCACATTAATTTATAAGAAAACTATATATATATATATATATATATATATATATATATATATATATATATATATATATCTTTTATATTTTTATAATTTATAATATATTTTAGTAAATAATTAAGGGCATGTTAAGAAGTATATCTAGTCTGCAAAAAGAAAGAGTGCAATAATAATAATAATGATAATAAAAAAAATATTTTCTTAAACTTTTAATGAGTACAAAAAAGAATATATATATATATATATATATATATATATAATTTTATTTTTTTGAAAATGGTGACGGCTATAAAGGAAGGGGAGAGTTATTCTTTAACACTTTTCAATATATAAATTCATCCAAGCTCCCACCTCATACTTTCTTTGTGTATTCATTTAAAAAAATTCTGATCAAATGACATTATTGTTATTTTTTTATAGCATATGATTATTTATATCTAAAGAATTTTACCTTCAAGCTATTATTTATATTTAATATTAAATATGATTAAATTGTATGTATTAAATACATATTTTAATTATTGATTTTAAAAATTATTGTGCTCAAAATCACTTAAAATAATATATATTTTTTTTAAATTGAATTATACAAAAATTAAAAATAGAGTGTTTCAAACAAATTTAGTGTTAATAGAAGGGATGTTTTTAGTATTTAACTGCATAACATAATTTTGATAGTGACCAAATAGTTTGTAAACTTGGTCATTCTTGAAAAGATATATTTTAGGAATTATATTTTTAATAAATTATTTTAATTATTTAGATTAAAAATAAGTTATTTAAATCACCTTTAAAATTTACGGGTGATCGCTACAATGTATTTTTATTTTATAATATTTTAATGCCTTAATAATTGAAAATTAAACATACATTAAAAAATTTTACACATTAATTATGAAACAATTTTTTATTTTTTTTGCTTAAATAAATATTTTAATTTTTATAATTTTAATAGAAACCCCACAAAAAAATTACATAAAATTAACAATAAATATAAATTATAATAGTAAAATAATTTTTTTAAAATATTTTATGATAATAAAATTAATTTTTAAAAAAATATTTAATTTTCAAAATAAAAAATCATAAAATTTAAAAATGTTGTCAAATATTTTGTCATCCTGTTTACAAATAATATTATAATATTTTTCATCATAATATTACATTATCGATATTTATAAAAATATAAAATCAAAATAGAATAATTTTTTATAGAATAAAAGTATGAAAGTAATAAAACATTATTTTACAGCTATAAAACGAATGATACAATTACCAAATATTAGTATCATGTTACTCTAATAAATAAAAACCTTAAAACCACAATTAAAAAAATTAAATTCATAAGTTATAGTAAATTACTGTTACAAAAACTAGAAATATGATGAAAAATAAGTTCTCTAGATATAGAATAATAATATCTACTGTCATTAATATTAAAATAAGTGTAGTATTATTAACAATATTTTCAATAATTAGAAAAATAAATCTTTAATAATATATATTTTTATTTTAAAATAGTAAAATATTATAATCTCTAATTTCTGTCTTACATTGCTATATTTAATTATTACATGATTCGTCTAAATGCTAATTTGTTATTTTTTATGTTTCTACAATGTCTACATTATTATTTTATTTTAATATTATTTTCTTATTTGTAAATTTTTAAAGGAATCATACTAAAAGATAATTCATTATTTTATAAATCATACATGATGGAACATTATACAAGAATAAATAAAATAAACTTAATTAAAGAATAAATTTTCTTGACATAATATAAATTTAATTATAATTGTTATTGTAATGAATTAAGTATAAAATCAACAATTAATAAAAAATTTATTAATTATAATAAAATATAAAATTAATGATTAATTATTTTGGCAAATTTATTTAAATAATAATATTTTTAAAACAATTTCTCAAAATAGGATTTTTTTAAAAAACATATTCCATGTTTGGTGCGATTTTTGGCGAGATTAGCACTTGTATCACACATGCATGTCCGATAAAACTTTTTTATTAATTTTTTAAATGAAAGACAGTATAGATGATGATACGTGTTAACTGAACAATAGTATCGGTCGGTCAAAAATGATAGAGATATGGTTGGTCAAACACCAGCAGGATTATCGAATGAGAGAGTCCGATCAGTCTCTCAGTATAGTCACAAGTCCCCTAGTTTTTTTTCTTTTTTTTACTGTTTTGTTTTACACACAAAATTTACAGGTGCAATCAGGGGTGCAGACCATCAAGGACAAGCAAGATATAGTGCAAGCTGAGCTGCAACTGGCAAAGCTACAAGTGTACAAGACGAAACATCAATCTGAAATGCAAACTAGCATAATTACAAATCAGACGCAGCAAGCTGCATTGCTCCCCTGCAATCTCAACAAGTTCCTGCCTCAGCTAATCTTCCACAATCAATTCCTGTTGTTCCTCCCCCTAATGCACCCCCACAACCTCCTCCACAACAGGGTTTGCCACCGCTAGTTCAACTTCCAAATCAATTCTCTCATAACCAAATCAAAGCTGCTCATCAGAGAGATCAATACTTCCCATCACCCGTTCCATCTCAGGAACTCCAAATCAGCAATACCAATTGCCCTTAGTTGAATAGCCACATCCTCAACCCGGGGCACCCCATCAACAACAAAATCAGCAAACCCCTTATCCCCAGTGCCTTCAGCCAACTCCTCATCCACCTCAACGACAGTCGTAAAGGCTCAATTAGAGATTTGCGGTTCTTTCAGTAGAACCCCATCCAACAAGACCCGAAATGCAAGAAAAATGCTATTAGTATCGCACTCTCTCATTCGATAACCCTGCCGCTTTTTGACCAACAATATTCCTATCGTTTTTGACTAGCTGATACTATTGTCCAGTCAACACGTGTCCTCATCCATTTCGTCCCTTATTTAATGTAACATCTTCATTTCGTTTTTGGTAATTGGGGTTTTGTTTAATATTAAGTAGTGTTAGAATGCATCTGGAAGAGAGTGTAAAGGATTGCTGGAGGAATTTTAGTGCAGGATTTCTCGCTCAAGAGAGACAGATATTTCAAAATAAGGTAGTCTGGAGAAATCTCGCTGAAGCGAGGTAAGCCTCGCTCAAGCGAGAAGGGATAGAAATGCCCCAACTGTCTTCCCGATCAGAAGGGAGGCTCGCCTAGGCGACGGGCAGCTCACCCAAGCGAGATGAAGCTCGCTTAGGCGAGATGTCACAGAGAAATCTGGCACTCTTTGAACCCATCCTTGCTCAGGCGAGAATACTTCTCGCTCAGGCGAGGATATCAGAAACACTGTTGTCTGGTTAGCTTGCTCAGGCGAGGAAGAGCTCGTCCAAGCGATCGAGAGCCCGCTCGCTCAAGCGAGATCGCGCGGGTTTGAGGGGTATTTAAGGACTTCGACATTGAGAAATTTTATTTCTCACCAAAACTACTTCTCTTCCTTTGATATCTCTCTGTTCTCTTCCTCTCCTATCCTAGAGAAAACCCTCAATACATCTAAATCTCTGTGGATCTGAGCTCTATCGTCCGTTCTACTTGGATTTGAGTAAGTTTTTGGAGCCTAACATTTGGACCCAGTTTCTATTTTTTGGTTTTTCTCCTTCTGATGGTGATCTTTTTGGTGGTACTAGAGAGAGATCTAGTTTTTGGGAAGTTCTACCGATTGAAACGTGGAGTTTCTTCCTAGAGCTCAAGGAGAGCTTATTGTTCGGACTCATTTCAAGGTAAGGGGGTATTCTTGACCTTAAATTTATTGTATATGTAACGACTCCATAAGAATCTAAGTAATCTATCCTGGTAAAAATCTGAGATGTTAGAGAGAATATATGGTAAAAGTGTATTTTTGGGCTTAAAGAAAGGTAGTGGATGGTCTGGAAATATATGAGCTAAGTGATGAAATACAGACAATGTTGAACTCTAAGTTAGAAGACCCTATTAGAGATGAGTTATTATGATCTTAAATTAAGTGTTATGAGATTGCATGATTTGGGCGGAGTCCAAGGGTGTCCGACCCCCAGTATGTTGTGTGATAAAGTGTTAGTATATTGTTCATATGATGATGAGTAAGATGAGATGTTGATTGTGTGAAAGTATGTAATAATATGCTGTTAAATGATAATTCTATGATGATGTAATGTGACATGATAAATATGCTGGATTGCTGATGAGGTAATATGGTTTAAGTTAATGTGCTGAAATAAAGGAAATTGGATGATTGTATGAATGTAATGAAATTTAGAGAATGTTGGAAAGAAGAAATCTATTGATGTATGAATCTGAATCTGGTTGATATGTATATATATATATATATATATATATATATATATATATATATATATGTAAATATGCTCTGATTGAGATGATGATGAGAAAGGGGAATGAAAATGATCACCATGAATAAAATGTAATGAATTTGATTTCTGGAAAGTTATATGATATGAAATGGGATGGAAGTATCTCATGAGTATGTGTGATGGAAAGTGGAATACTAGTACATGTGTTACAAATACACCGATTGATGCGATTATAGTATTTGAGTTGTAGTACACCAACAGGTGAGATTATAACTTATATGTTGTAGTACATCGGTTAGTGTAGTTGTTACATATGTATTAGAATAGTATAATGTGATGTGTCACGATTGAGATAGAGTATGAATAGTTCAGCAATACACTGGGGTATAGGGTTTGGAGTCGATTGTGGAAATCTGGGGAAAGTGAGAGTGGTAAATGTCATTCACTGATGTGTACATGATTAAAAGTGTGAAGCATTTACAGGCCTCACAATCATTTCCTGACTAAACTCCTAACTATACCTTGGTTTGGAAGGCCAGAAACGCACACGTTGTATCCATGTGTTGTTTGGCTCACCAACGACTATTTATGTTGCGTAAGTCCATTGTAACTGAAAAAAGTACGTTGGCAGTAGTTTGGGGGCCCGAGAGTACCTTGAGTACCGTTGAAATTGATCAATGTTCGATAACGAACGAATGATGTGGAATAATGATGATGTGGCATGAAAATGTGTTGATGAGTATATGGCATGAAAGTATGAAATAATGATATTTGATTGAGTGCAAGCAATGTGGCATGTGATTGTGAAATGCTGATATTTGATTAAGTGCCAGTAGTGCGGCACAGAATTGTGAAAGGCTGATATTTGTTTAAGTATAAAGTGGTGTGGCATGAATTATGAAAAGGATGATATTTGGTTAAGTGAGAAATGATATGTTGCGATGTTTTATGATTGTATGCTTGATAGATAAGTTAATGGTAGAGAAAATTGATGTGGAAGGGTTATCTGATTCTCAAGAATAAAATGAATTATGTTTTACATGTATATGAGAAGAAGTATAGAATATGTGTATCTCCAGTTGAAATGTATAGTATGTCAAAATTGATATGGTAGTGGGAAACGAATTGATTTATGAGATTATGCCATGATCAATAGATGTCTGGATGGGGTAGAAATGAGTGTGTTAACATATGGTATGTATATTTTCTTTCTGTTATAATTAAGGCTTTAGTGGGCAAGGGATGCTCACCCTTACAAATATTTTTTAAAAAAAAAAGGTCTATTCGTGCTAGGATTGTACCTGCAAAGAATGGTAGGAAAGAAATTGCTCTGAGTAGAAAAAATTGTTTATGGGAGAGAATGTAATGATATTTATGAATATTTTCTATTCAAGGTCAATTATTACTTGTAATTATATGATGAAAATTTTGAGTTGGAGTTAAAGTATTTTGGATAAATTTGCTGAGAAATTTTTAATATGACAGTTTTGATTGTTTTACCAATTGGTTTTGAAAATCTATAAATAGTTATACATGAAGATTGAATTTTTCATCTCTTCTCTAAAAGAAAACCTGAGGACATCGAACTATTTTTAAATATGGAAGTAGTATGTTACATTTAACGCTTTGATCTGCCTGATATTTATTCTCTCTTCACCACGTGTCAATGTATGAACAAGTATCGTATGGTGAGAAACGATAGTATTAAAAAATTAATAAAAAAATTCTATCAGATATGCATGTGTGATACAAGTGTTAATTTGGCCAAAAATCACACCAGACAAGGAATATGTTTTTAAAAAATTATATTTTAAGAAATTTTTTTAAAAATAGTATTATTTAAATAAATTTTCCAATTATTTTAAAGAAAATATCAACGTAATATAGTTTTTAATACTTTATCTAATATCTTATACCTGTTAAAAAAATATTTTTATTTAATTTATTTTTAATTTATAATTTTTATATTTTTAAATATATGTAAACACTATTATTTCTATAATTTATCCAAATTCTAATATCTATTACTTTGTTTGGTTAATATAATTTATTCTTAGTTTTATATTTTTTTACAATTGCGTTGAGTTTTTACTTTCAATTAATTAACGTAATATCATTTGATATTTTTTATATTTATATATAAAAATTATATTTGAAAAATATAAAATAATCAGTACAAAATATGAATACTATAGTTAATTAAAAAAATATTAAATAAATTATATTAAAAATATCTCCTAATTATTAGTTATTGTTATTATCTCTATTATTATTAGAAGGTAATATAAAATATGAATATTATGGTCAGTTATTGTTATTATCTTTACAATTATTTGTTATTATCTTTATAATTATTATAAGATAATTTAGAATATTATCTTAGGTAAATATTAATATTAGACTTATATATATACATGTAAAATTATAATGTATAATGACAACATATAATTTAGAAATTCAAGTTGGTATCAAAAACTTTGATTCAGGGGATTTTTGCTTCAACACATTCAAACCCTAGCTACCTATCACCCAAACCCTAGTAATTGTCTTGATTATAGCATATGTATGCATATGTTTAGATATTTTTTTTCCCCTCTGTCTCTACCACCACCACTATTATCACTATTACTATGGTTGGACCACCAATCAACTTTGAAAATCACACCATCTGAAGCGCATGACAAGGATCAGCCAAACCTAAAACATTTTGTCTCCAATAAAGCTTCCATGCGCTGCCACATCATAAAAGCTCTTGTCATTACGTGAAAGCCACACATTGCCTTCTTGATCGTTGTTTGCCTTTTTGCAAATGTCGTTTTGTTTGTCAAGACCGTCTCTCTCAATTTTGACCCTTCTTTACTCAAACCGTATCTATTTGGGTGATTGTTTCTTCAACTTTTATAAGTTCTCTATTAAAATATAAGTATTTTTTTATCATAGATGACTCATGTCTCTCATTCCATGATTGGTAAGAATTATGGTTTATCTTCGTTTAATACCTCATGTTTTGTACCTGGGGTTATTTGGATAATTAACTCTGTTGCTTTTGATTACATGACTCCTAACATTTCTTCTTTTACTTTTTATTCCATTTTATTTAGTGCACATTACATTATAGTTGTCAATTGTTTACAATACAAACTCCCATTCTTAGTTTTGGTAATATTCAACCCACTACCTCTTTTATTAAAATATGTTCTTTATATTTCTCAGCTCTTCACTAATCTCCATTCATAAATTCACTTGTGATTGTAATTTTTTTTTTCTTAATTTCATTATGTTTTTTAGGATCTTGCTATAGGAAGGACGATTAGAGTTGCTTAAGAATGGAGATGGTTATATTACTTTCTGTCAGTGAAAACTAAAGTCCAAAAACAATTTTGGAAGAGGAAAACTCAAATTTTGTAACTAGTCTTTTTCTAAGTATGACTCTTTTTAAATTTGTCTTCAATGTAAGTGTTTAGGTCATCTACCTTTTAGATTGTATAAAAGTACGTTTCCTTCTTTAATTTTG